AATTGTCATCCCCAGTAAAAGAGTTCATAATGAGAAGAACTTGTTCAATATTGCCATCATAATCAAGTGAAGTCAAATGACAAAAAAAACTTATTATCTTTTAGTCTTTGCCCTATTCTCGTTAACACAAGAATGAACAAAGAGGGACAGCTGAAGACACTAGTTTTTTATTTCATTTGTTTTATTTATTATTATTTTGTTTTAATATTATTATTATATTATAATATTATTATTTTTATTTTTTTATTATTATTAATTTTATTATATTACAAGCCCAAATTACAAACCAGACCGGAGGCCCAATTACAACCCATACTGGCCCAGACCCAACAGACCCAACTTGGTCTAGTCCCAGTTACAAATAGAAACCCTAAACTGATTAGGGTTTCATCTTTTTCAGCCGCCAGCATCAATTTCAGCCGTTGAATCTGTTTTGATTCAACGGTCCACAACTTTCCAGATAAAACCCTAGGGTATCATAACCCTAGGGCCACGTCCCAACCGCCGCCATTACTTCTAGAGAGCCACGTCCCAGCCGCCGCCAGATGGTCCAATATATGCTGCCGACGCTTGCTGCCTCACCGAGCTTTCCAGAAGAGCCAGCCGCCCCACACGTCGCAACTATTGGGGTGAGTTACCACATAGCTCGGTGACTCACCGAAAGCCTCCTAAGGGACCGGTCCGACGAAAGCCTCGGTGGTGGCTATAAAAGCCACCACACCTGCAAAATAAAAACAAAAAAAAAAGGACCGGAGGGAGATAACCAAAAACAGAGGCAAACAACAACCATAGAGCAACCAAACGGAGAGCAAAAATAGAAAAAAAAAACAGAGACCAACTCACAACAACCAGCAATCAAATCGAGAAGAGAAAAGGAAGAGTTTTACTTACCGGAGAACCCCAAATGGCGCCTGAGAACCAAAAATACCGAAGGTATTTTCCTTAGATCTAGGAAAATCCATAACTTTTTAGGATAAAAGAAAGGTGAAATCGAGTTTAGGGTACTTGGATTTAGAGTTTGGGAAATTTTGATATTCTCCGGCCACCAGTGACGGTGGCCGGCAGGGTGGTTGGCGGTGGTACAGGGCTGCCGCCTGGTGACCGGCTTCCCTCCGGTGAGGGAAGCTAGAGAGAAGCGAGAGAGAGTTTAAACTCTCTCAGTTTAGAGAGAGGAAAAAAATGAGAGAAATGAGAGCTGGCCCATTGGGCCAGCCGTTTAGGGTTTTAAATACCCCTCCCCGAACGACGCCGTTTTGGGGAGGGGTCTATCTGTAATTAATTAAAAGTTAAACCCCGTACGCAGTCCAATAACTTTGTAATTTTTCATTATAGTCACTGAAATCAAATTATGAACTTTTTAATTTGATCTCTTAATTTTATTTCTTTATAATTTAGTCACTGACATAAATATTTTAGACAAATAACCGATTTAGTCCTTTAATTCTAATTAATGTTATTTTAATCCCGAGCATGTTTTAATTTATTTTAATTTGACATTCGAATTTAATATAATTTTATTTTAGTCCATAAATTAATAAATGAGTAAAATAACATGTTTATTCCCTGTAATTTTAAATAATTAATTATGAATTAGGTATTTAATGCTATTAGTTTACAATTTAATCACTAATTTAATTTTTTATTTACAAGTTATATATATAGTTTTAATTTTATTGTTAGTTATATGTTAATATGTTTACTTTTAATTATTATTACTATTATTATTATTATTATTTAATCATAATATATATATATTTATAATAATAATATGTATTTTATTTATTAAAATCTTAGTTAATTATTTTTAACTTATTTTAATCCTATTTTAATATTTATTTTTCAATATTAAGAAAGGGCAGTCTTAAAATAACTGGATGTCCATTTTCTGATATTTTTAAATAAATAAATATCTTATTTTATAAATTATATATTAATTGTTTTAATTATTTATTTATTTTTTAATATCAAAGAAAAGAGTTGTCTTAAGGCACCTAGAAGTCATTTTCTGATATTTCTAAATAAATAAATATTTTATTTATAAATATATATAAATTAATATATATTTTTCATAATTATAATTTTAAAATAATAGGATTATAAATTAAATATATTTTTAATTTTTAATTTCTAATAATAGAGACAATTTATAATTAAAAAAGTACCAATTTTTGGCGTTGTAGGGGTGCTAATCCTTCCCTAAACGTAACCGACCACGAATCCCTTTTTATTATTAAAAAGAACGAATTTTTGGTTATAAACGCAGATCAGTTCATCTTTTAACTAATGTTTTCTTAAAACTCTTTTAAAAGATAATTTTTAGGTATTCGACCTACCTAACCCAAAAGGCCGATGGCGACTCCCAAATTATTTTAAAAACCATTTATTCACATCACTTTTCCCGCCGAGTAAAAATTTCGTACCCGGACGAAAACCTGTATTACACAAAAACTAGAACTATTAAGGATTTTCAAAGCACTCGAAATCTTACTAAATGGAATAAGTTCCGAGCTATCTGAATGTGAAGATGTTTTGAATTGTTTTTAAACTTAGGAACCTTGGTTAAATGGGTATTTATAAAGTTTTTTATTATTATTATAAAAAAAACCATCCAAAAATAATTTATTGACGAGATTGAAGACACTAGTTTTATATTTCATTTGTTTTATTTATTATTATTTTGTTTTAATATTATTATTATATTATAATATTTTTATTTTTATTTTTTATTATTATTATTAATTTTATTATATTATAGGCCCAAATTACAAATCATACCGGAGGCCCAATTACAACCCATACTGGCCCAAACCCAACAGACCCAACTTGGTCCAGGCCCAGTTACAAACAAAAACCCTAAACTGATTAGGGTTTCATCTTTTTCAGCTGCCAGCATCAATTTCAGCCGTTGAATCTGTTTTGATCTAACGGTCCACAGCTTTCCAGATAAAACCATAGGGTATCATAACCCTAGGGCCACGTCCCAGCCGCCGCCATTGCTTCTAGAGAGCCACGTCCCAGCCGCCGCCAGATGGTCCAAACATCAGAGACTATATAGTATATTCACTTGGCCCAGATGGTCCAAATTTCAAAAAATAAAATGAATAAATTTTATAAAGGATAAGAAGAAGAGAGAAATTTATCTTAATTGTATATATTGAAATAGAAAATCAACCTCTATTTATAAACTCAAAGTGGGGTAAATGTAAGCATACATCGAGCACAAACATAGTGGAAATGATTAGTTGTAAATATCTCTAGCTATTGTCTACATTGTATATCAAAATTAAGAATTTAGTTGTTCTACTGTTTAATACGTCAAAACACTCTGAATCACTGTCTAATACTTTAAATTCAATTACACAAAAACTAGAACTATTAAGGATTTTCAAAGCACTCGAAATCTTACTAAATGGAATAAGTTCCGAGCTATCTGAATGTGAAGATGTTTTGAATTGTTTTTAAACTTAGGAACCTTGGTTAAATGGGTATTTATAAAGTTTTTTATTATTATTATAAAAAAACCATCCAAAAATAATTTATTGATGAGATAACTCACAACCCCTCAACCCCTCAACCCATGGTGAAGCACATGGGCCATGTCCATGAACTATAACGTGGAAATTACCAACATTCTTCCACTTAGTAATATCTATGGATACTTAAAGTTGAAACATGATATACGAATCATGGCGATATTTTCTCTTGTATTTTGAGCGGTATCTTTCACGTATTACAATATATTATATTTCTAATACTTTAACTAAATTTTTTTTAATGAATTAACTTAATATTCATTCTATGTTCAAATTTTAGTGATATTTATCGAGATAATTAAATTGACACGTGCACGACCAAACTAGAGACTATATAGTATATACTTCACCATACAGTAAAATTTAACTAATTTAAAGGAGAGAAAAAAATGAAAACAAAGATATGGAGAAATTAGCTAAGTATGACAATTATATTTAGCGTCTTTGAAAATAAAAATAAAAAAAGAAAATTTTCGAAAACGAAAAGAAAAGCTTTTATTAAAAACAGAGGAAAGAAGAATGATTTATGAATGTGTTTCAAGGCTTACCCTGAGAGGGTATTTATAACATTCAAAAATCCTAAAAACAAGGAAAAGATAATTCCTAAAAATAAAAGATAATTCCTAATGATAGTTCTTAAACTATTTAAACTAAAATACTAAAAACAAAGATAAAATATAATTCTTAAAATATTTAAACTAAAATCCTAAAAACATGAGTTTGACTTGGATTCGAATTTTAGAAACACGGAAGACTCATTCTTCCTTTTAGAAACGCTGACTGGACCTTTTGGAAGGTGATGACTAATCGTCTCGTCAGATGCGTCATGCTCGGAATCATGCCTACTAATCCAACCTTGATTCTGAAAATAAAAAATCTGCATAATTCTGTCCTTTAAGTGCAATTTACAGAATCTTGTGTCCTGTACAAAAAAATGAATAAAAACGAATAAATCAGCCACAAAAACTAACAACTAAGGATAAATTTAAAGACAAAATCACAAGTTGTCATCTTCAATTTCAATTTATTCCTCAAACTTCCAATCGAACTAAGTCCATGACAATTGCCAAGTTCAAGGTACATTCAAGTAAAGACACAACTAAGAAAAAAATTTAAGCAAGCAAGATATCCCAATTATTTACAAACTTTAATGAAATATAACTCAATACCTCACAAAGATTCACACATGTCCGCTCAAAGTGTTTAGGGTAAAATGAAATCGTTCAAACCAAAACAAATCAAGATATTACCATAGGTTTGTAATCCAATGAAGTCTCCACTACTAAAAGTGAACGTAATGCAATAATCAAAGGGTCTTTAAATCAAGGTGTAATGGGGCTTAAGTTAGGGTAGGGAAAAGGCCATGATATCGGTTTAAGTACCATGATAATAAATTTACAAAATATTCCTAAAATAAAATAAAAGTAAAAATATAAACATATAAAATCATTAACATAAACATAGAGATCAAGAATCTTGAGTGCATCCATTTGGTCGAAGAAGCCTTTTGGAATACTCCTTGTACCACAACTAGACAACAACAATGTTGTGAACATGGGACACTTTGATAAGGATTTTGGAAGACTCTTGATATAATTTTTAGAAAGATCAAGAACCTTAAGTGCATCCATATGCTTGAAGAAACCTTTAGGAATACTGGCTATATCACAATCAGACAACAACAATGTTGTGAGTCTGGGACACTTTGGGGGTGACATTTCCAAGGGTATATATAACCATCGATTCTTCATTATCGAAACTTTCTCTAGATTCATGCTACATTCTTGCACGTCTGGTGCCTTTTCCAACATCGTGCCTGCTTTTACCAAGAATCGAGATTCTGCAATATGTAATGCCGTGTACCTTATAAGATCATGCATCTTTACAATTCTTGCATTTCCAAAATGAGTAAAAACTTCTAACAAACAATTGCTGACGAGTCTATTCATTATTGCATAACCCTTGTCGAACTCTGCTTGCTTACTTTCCATTTCTTCCACAAGCCCCTCTACGACCCAAAGTTGAATAAGACCTTCCTCTTCCTCTTGATATAATGCACAACTGAGGAAACAATGTTGAAGTGCTGGATCCTTTAAACGATCATAACTGAATTGTAATTGTTGGAACATTTCATCGTTGAATCCATTAGCACTTTTTTTTTGAGGCTTAATTCTTTCAGTGCATTCCTATATTCGGAGATGTCATCAATACCCTTCATACAAGAAGCTATACTAATAACTCCCAAGGACAAACCTGCACACGCTTAACAATTGATCTTGCAATTGGTTCCACTCCTAGAATATTGAAAATATCACGACCCACCTTCTCCAAGAACAACTTCCATGCATCTTCTTCTGTAAGAGACTTTACTTTAATTACTCTACAACCCAATTGTCTACACACATCAGATGATCGAGTTGTCAACACTAACTTACTCCCATTTGATGGCTCAGGAATTCCTATTCTCTCAAGTGAAACCTTCTCCCATAGGTCATCCAAGATCATCACAAACCTACTTTTTTGAGACAATGTTTCAAAGAGCATCCCTGCCCTTGTAGTTTCATCTTCATCTCTAGAAAATTTTATTCCAATTTTACTTGCAATGTCTTTCTGCAGTTTAGCAATACACATTTCTTTGGATATAGTGATCCAAATCACAAAATCGAATTTCCCTGTCTCTTTTAGGAGTTAGTTGTTTGTAATGCTTGTTTTCCCCACGCCACCCATCCCTTAAACTCCAATCTTTCGAACCTCATCATCCATCAAACACTGTCAAATCTCTTCAACACGGGCCTTTACAGCTTCACCTGATAAATTTGTTGTCGACAAAACATGCCCCTTGGCGAATATCCTGCCCCTTGGAAACTTCAATGTGGGTTGGGTTACCTTGCTTCTTTAACAACTCGAAACATTCAACAAGTCCAAGCAATGCTTGAACTTGTCTGTCGTAACTGGCTTGGTGAACATATCAGCGGCATTCTCATCAGTATGTACCTTCTGAAACAAAACCTCTCCAGATGCAACCAACTCTCTGATCTTGTGGAACCTTACATCAATATGTTTAGTTCTAGCAAGATATACCTAATTCTTAGCCAAGTGAATAGCACTTTGATTATCACAAAGCAACTGAACTCCACCTTGTTGAACACCCAACTCCTTCACTAAACCAGTAAGCCATAAAGCTTCTTTTGCAGCTTCAGCCGCTGCCATGTACTCAACTTCAGTTGTAGATAGAGCCACAACAGATTGAACAGTAGACTTCCAACAAATAGGCCCTCCACCAAGAGTAAAGACATACCCTGTCGTAGATCTTCTATTATCCAAGTCACATGTATAGTCTGAATCCACATATCCTACAACCAAAGGATTATCCTGCTGACTCCCAAAAACAATTCCATGTCCCACAGTACCCTTTAAGTACCGAAAGATCCACTTGACTGCTTCCCAATGTTGCTTACCAGGTTTAGACATGTACTTACAAACTTGACTAACAACATAAGCTAAATCAGGACGAGTACATACCATCGCATACATCAAGCAGCCAACAACATTAGAATACGAAACCTTTGCCATATCTTCAGCTTCCTTATCTTTCTTAGGTTACTGTTCTGATGAGAGCTTAAAGTGATTCGCCAATGGAGTGCTAACTGGTTTCGCGCTGCTCATCGCAAACCTTTCTAGCATTTTCTCAACATAACCCCATTGAGATAGCCGCAGTTTCCTTGAGTCTCTGTCCCTGCAAATTTCCATTCCAAGAATTTTCTTTGCAGCACCTAAATCTTTCATATCAAATTCCTGACTCAATAAAGTTTTCAAACCGATAACATCATCCATGTTCTTCACAGCAATCAACATATCATCAACATACAGTAATAGAAAAATAAAAGAACCATCATCAAGGCTCTTAACATAGACACAACAATCATACTCACATCGGTTGTAGCCAATCTTGATCATATAGGAGTCAAACCGTTTATACCACTGTCTCGGAGACTGTTTCAACCCGTACAAAGATTTTTTTCAATTTGCAAACTAAATCCTCGTTTCCAGGTTGAGTGAAACCTTCAGGTTGCCGCATGTAGATCTGCTCCTCTAAATCACCATGCAAAAAAGCAGTTTTAACATCCATTTACTCTAAATGCAAATCCCAACTAGCCACCAATGCAAGTACTGCTCGGATTGAAGTGTGCCTGACCACAGGAGAAAAGATTTCATCATAATCAACTCCTTTCTGCTGTGAAAAACCCTTCGCTACCAAACGAGCCTTGAACTTCTCCCCCTCTTTTTCTGTTACTGCTGGTTTCTTCTTATACACCCATTTGCAACCAATCGGCTTCTTACCCTCAGGAAGGGGAACTAACTCCCATGTGCGATTGTGATTCAAAGACTCCATCTCCTCAACCATGGCTGCCATCCACTTGTCATTTTCCTGACTAGTAACGGCATCATGAAAAGTAACTGGATCATCACTGCTAACAATAAGTGCAAAAGATACCAAGTCTTCAAAACCCAATCTGTTCGGAGGCTTTATATTTGTCCGTCTCATCCTGTCTCTGGCGAGACTATAATCCTGCAAATCATCCGTAGTGGAACCACCAGAAGTCGGTTGAGAAGTTTCTGGTTTCTCAACTGGAAACTGCTCGAAATCCACCACTGTCGTGTCTTGCTTCTGCTGCAACATGGACTGTTCATCAAAAATAACATCTCTACTAATCACAACTTTCTTCGCAACTGGATCCCAGAAATTGAATCATTTGACACCTTTCTTGTAACCCAGAAAAATGCACTCCTTCGATTTTGCATCAAGTTTGGATCTCTCATCAGCAGGTACATGCACATAAGCAGGACAACCAAAAATCCGTAAGTTATCAAAACTAACATCATGACCAGTCCATACCTCTTCTGCAACTTTCCCAGCCAGCGATGCCCTTAGTGATCTGTTGATAAGGTAACATGCCATGTTAACAGCCTCAGCCCAGAAGTGTTTGGGAAGCCCCGCATTCAACCGCAAACATCTAGCTCTTTCATTCAATGACCTGTTCATTCGTTCCGCAACACCATTCTGTTGTGGTGTCTTGCGCACTGTAAAATGCCTCTGAATCCCATGCTCCTTACAGAATTGTAGAAACTGTGAATCTGTGTACTCCATACCATTGTCAGACCGCAAACACTTGATTTTTCATCCTGTTTGGTTTTCTACCTCAACTTTCCACAGCTTGAACTTCTCAAAAACTTCAGATTTCTGTTTCAAAAAATACACCCAAACTTTCCGTGAAAAATCATCAATAAAAGTAACATAGTACCTAGATCCACCCAAAGATGATGTCGTGGAAGGCCCCCATACATCAGAATGCACATAATCAAGAATCCCTTGAGTTGTGTGCTTCGCAGTCTTAAAACGGACTTTAGTCTATTTACCAAGAACACAATACTTGCAAAAATCAAGCTTACAGCTTTTGACACCATACAACAAGTTTCTCTTGTGTAATTCTGCCATACCACGTTCACTAAGATGAGCAAGGCGCATATGCCACAATTTTGTCGTATCATCACAGGACTCAACAGAGTGAACTCCACCTGCAACGGTACTCCCTAACAATCTGTAGATATTCCCTGTAGTCATCTTGCCTTTCATCACAGTCAATGCTCCTTTAACAATCCGAATGGTTTCCCTATCCTCGTCAGCCTTAGGGATAAAACTATTCTTGTGCAAAGTGCCCAAGGAAATCAAATTCTTCTTCAAGTCTGGGATATGTCGAACACCACTCAACGTCCGAACGGAGCCATCGTGCATCTTAATTCTGACATCACCAATACCAACAATATTGCAACATCGATCATCGCCCAAAAAAACCGAACCAGAATTAACCGGCTTGTATGTCGAAAACCATTCCCTATTTGGTGTGATGTGATAAGAACATCCAGAATCAAGAATCCAAGCATCTGTCAATTGTGTCGTTGAAATAGAAAGCATATCACCCTCACTGCAATCAGAATTATCATCCTCGACCACGTTCACAGACTTGGATGAGCCATCACGCTTCTCATCAGTCTGCTTTTTCAACTTCGGAAAGTCTCGCTTCATATGTCCCGCCTCCTTGCACTTGTAACAGTGAATCGTCTTCTTATCCCTGGATTTGGATCTGGAATTCCGCTTCCCGGACCCTGCCTTCTCTGGCTTCCGTCCACGATCTCGATTACCCTTGACATATAAGCTATCGGCTTGAGAGCTTTCCCCTGCATTCTGCTTCCACTGGTTGTGAGCCAACAAGGCTGCAATAATCTCCTCAACGTTGATAGTCTCTTTCCCATATGTAAGAGTAGTCACCATGTGTTCGTAAGAGGGAGGCAACAAACACAACAGAATCATCGCTCTGTCTTCATCCTCAATTTTCACATCAAGTCGAGCCAGATCAGAAACGATTTGATTGAAGATATTCACGTGTTGCGCCAAATCGTGATCGTCCTGCATCTTCAGCCCATACAGCCGCTGCTTCAGATACAGTTTTGTCGTTAAGGATTTGGACATAAACTGACTTTCCAACTTCCTCCAAATTTCGTCTGGAGACGATAGATGCATGACGTGATACATGACCTCGTCCGCCAAACATAATCGTATGGTTCCTGCCGCTCGCTGCTGCAATTCTTCCCAATCTTCCTCATCCATCGACGCCGGCTTTGAAGGTCGCAAGGACTTCAAGATCCCTTACTGCGCCAATAGATCTTTCACCCTCGTTTGCCATAATCCGAAGTTACCCTGACCATCGAATTTCGCGACTTCGAATTTTTCTCCTGACATCTGATACCAATTGTTGACGAAAACGGGTAAAGAAAAACAAAAGAACACGAGAATTTTACGAGGTTCGGCAATGTGCTTACGTCCTCGGTGCCTAGGCGACGCTAGAAGTTTTATTCAATGATATTTTAGGTCTAGGTTACATCTCTATTTGTAATAGAAAACCCTGGTACATAATTACAAAATCAACCCTGTACCGTACCGCGGGGCTACGCCCCCGCACCCCCAACCCCCATAATTCATAACCCCACAACCAGACTTTCTTTGTAAGGACAGTTGATGTTCGCTTCGCTCACTCCGCTCCATCTCCTGTCCTATTTACTGGTATATTTATGAGCCATACCTAACATTCTTCAACTTCCGTTATACTCTTTGACACATATTCTGTGTGAAATCCACGTGGAAGAGCATTGCTTTCACCAATTCTTCCATCAAGGTCTTGGACTTCCGCCTTGAGTTTCTTTCTTGGTTGCAGCTCTGTTCTCAGTATAGATTCCGTATCTTTTTTCATACCATTCAATTCTTTTAATTTCCTTTTAAGGTCCTTCATATACTGATCAAAGCTCATGCGATTGTCCAAGTGTTTATCTATCTTATTCAGAGTAAAGTCCATGGCTGCAAGTCACAAGCAATATGTTAGAAACTAAATAATAACGCATCATTAGGTGAATGTATCTAAGCATGTCTAAAAAACTTTTATCTTATCTCACAAAATTTGATTTTTTTACTTTAGATGTTTCATCGAATTTAAGTTTTTATCTAAATATATTACATATTGATTTTAATCATATAGATAACTAATTAGTTTGATTTGAAATAGGTTAATTAACATTTT